AGTCAATAAAACACAAGTAAACATCTTTCTGGTATTCTTTGCCTTGAGCCAAGATCCATCTGACAACAGCTATGATATCCCTTGTTCCACGTCTACAACTTAGCAGGTGCAAAATCCAATTTTCTGTGACTCCCACCCCGCCTCCCTGTAGGTATACCCTACTGACTCCCACTGTCCCCATCATGTGAATGCCTTCCCACCTGTTAGATCCAAATCTTATTAAATATATATATATACTCGTGAGTATTCATGCAAATCTTCCTCTCCACAGCACATAAGATCAACTCCCAGAGTTCAGCATTTTCACTTCTAAATGGGTCTAGTGTTTCATATACCTGAACGGAAAGCCCCCGCTTCTCCACACACCCCACTTCAGCCTCCTCAAACACTATAAATTGAGAAGTTGTGTAGGGAGAAGAAAAGTTTGCTGAGAGCTCACCCAGAGAAGAGCTGGAACTAAATTGCTCATGGAAGGGGCTTGACAGGGGTCAGACACGACAGCCTGGGTGGCAGGAACTGGGGCAAGTCCTTTTCCCTTTCTGCTCCCTCTTAGTTTGAACTCCCAAGTTTTTGTATTCCCAGGGCCATCATTTTGTTTGTGATTCCAAAGTCCTAAACCCTGACATCCTATCGGTTCTCACGCTGGCGTTTTAACGTTCTAATATACTCAGTGCTCTTGATATTCTTTAACTACTCTTTGACCCAGTGCGGCGATGCCCTTCCACGACCTGACATGCCCTTTCGTTTGCTTGCCTCCCCTGAGCCCCACTGGGCTCGGAATGAGTGAAGAATGCAAGATGTCAAGTAGGGGCACCGGAAGTTACACACCTACACTGCCCGTCCACCTGCCCCTCCGCACGTCAAAGAGGTTGGAAGTGCTGCCAGGAGTCCCTCCACCCCGTGTTCACCAGACCCCAGCTGTCACCTGGAGCCGGAAGCGCTGTGCCGCCTTGTCCATGGACTCCAGGGCCGCTTGTTGCCGCTGTCGCGCCCGAGCCGCCGCGCCCCGGGCGGTCCGGCGTCCGGACCAGTGCAGGGCCACGGCCGCAGCCACTAAGCAGCAGGCCAGAGCCGGCCCGGAGGCACCAGACAGCGCAGCCCACAGTTGGTCCAGCACCATGATCCCCTGCCGCCGACCGGTGTTGAGAACGACAGAGACAGATGAAAAATCAGCAACCGCGGCCAGACCGCTCCGCTGCAAAACCCGGCCTGGATCCACCCGGATCCCAAACCCGCCTCCGCGGAGCTAGAGGGAGCAGCGCGGCGCCGCCGCAGGCCCGCGGTGGGGGGCGCCGTTGCCAGGCAGCGGGCGGGAGGCTCGCAGCGCGCTACGTCAGGGCCAAGCCCAGCCTCCAGGAGGTGCGGGGAATAGGACACCGTTTCGCGTGGGCACTCACGGAAGCACTAGCATGGCAGCAGTTCCGCTTAGCGGCTCAGGGCCCGGCCGTCGCCCCGTGTACCCCAGAGGCCCTCTCCACTCCGGGAGGACCAGCCCAACCGGAGCCCTCTGCGGAACGGGCTGGCCGAAAGAAAGGAGTGCAGCGACGGATTGGAGCCACTACCTCCACCAACAGTTTGGCGGCATCTTTCCAAGACAGCCATGCGTTGAAGTTGTGCACCGTAGGGCACCCACCTCTCCCCAGCGTAGGGTTTCCGGGGCGCCTTCCCAAGGACTGGGACAGGAAGTTCTCCACGCTCACCTGCTGCCCCGCCCTCCAGACCCCAGGTTTCTCGCCCCCGGCCCTTCTTCGCGGACAAAACCACCCAGCATTTGTCCTTTTGCTTTGTCATCATCTATAGTTAAGCCTCCCCAGGGTCACCTACTCCCAGTCCTACGCCTTCCTGGATTTCACCCTTGGGAAGCAGAAAGAACTCCTGACCAGGATTTGGGGACTTGGTGCTCTCCACTGGGAAACACACACACTCTTTATCTAGGCCATAGGTAGCCCAGAACTTCGTGTACCTTATCTCATTTATCCTCCAAATATCCCTATGAGGAAGACATTTTTATTATCCTCCTCTACAGAAAGGAAAGAACTGAAGAGGAAATTTAAGCCTCCAGTTGCAATCTTGAAAGATTCTACAAGTAATGTTTTGAATGATGCAGGAAACATCAAGAGAAGATGGCAGGAATACACAGAGTCACTGTACCAAAAAGAACTGGTGGATGTTCATCCATTTCAGGAGGTGGCATATGATCAAGAACCAATAGTATTAAAGGAAGGAATTGCACTGAAGGAGGATGTTTCAATAACCAGTTGCTGCAGTGGAGGCACTCACTCATCTATGCCAAGAGATTTGGAAGACAGCTACCTGGCCAACTGACTAGAAAAGATCCATATTTTACCCATTCCAAAGAAAAGTGATCCCACAGAATGTGAAAATTTCCAAACAATATCATTAATGTTGCACATAAGTAAAATCTTACTGAAGATAGTTCAAAAATGGTTGCAGGAGTATACTGACAGAGAACTTCCAGAAATGTAAGCTGGATTCAGAAGAGTTCGTGGAATGAGGGATATCATTGCTGACGTCAGATGGATCTTGGCTCAAAGCAAAGAATACCAGAAAGATATTTATTTATGTTTTATTGACTGTGCAAAAGCATTCAATTTGTGGATCATAACAAATTATGGATAACATTGAGAAAAATGGGAATTCCAGAACACTTAATTGTACTCATGAGGAACTTGTACATAGACCAGGAGGCTATCATTTGAACAAAACAAGGGGATCTGCATAGTATAAAATCGGAAAGGAAGTGTGTCAGGGTGTATACTTTCACTATACTTATTCAATCTGTAGCTGAGCAAATAATCTGAGAAACTGGACTATATGAAGAAGAACATGGCATCAGGATTGGAGGAAGACTCATTAACAACCTGCGATATGCCGATGACACAACCTTGCTTGCTGAAAGTGAAGATGACGTGAAGCACTTGCTGATGAAGATTGAAGACTACAGTCTGCAGTATGGATTGTTGTTGTCAGGTGCCGTCGTGTCCGACTCATAGTGACCCTATTACGCACAGCAGAACGAAACACCATCTGGTCCCGCACTAGCTCCATGATCCAGTATGGATTATACCTCAATATAAAGAAACAAAAATCCTCACAACTGGACCAATAAGCAGCATCACAATGAATGGAGAAAAGATTGAAGTTGTCAAAGACTTCATATTACTTGATTCTACAATCAACACCAATGGAAGCAGCAGTCAAGATGTCAGACATAATGCATTGGGCAAATCTGCTGCAAAAGACCTCTTCCAAGTGCTGCAGAGCAAAGATGTCTCCTTGAAGACTAAGGTGCACCTAACCCAAGCCATGGTATTTTCAGCTACTTCATATGCATGTGAGAGCTGGACAATGAATAAGGAAGACCAAAGAAGAGTTTATGCTTTTGAATTTTGGTGTTGGTGAAGAATACTGTAAGTACTATGGTCTGCTAAAAGAACTAGCAAATCTGTCCTGGAAGAAGTGCAGCAGGAATGCTCCTTGGAAGCAAGAATGGCCAGACTTCGTCTCACCCACTTTGGTCGTGTTGTCCAAAGGAACCATTCTCTGGAGAAGGATATCATGCTTAGTAAAGTGGAGGGCAACAAAAAAGGGGAAGGCCCTCTACAACACAGTGGATTGACACAGTGGCTGCAGTGATGGGATAAGGTATAACAGAGATCATGAGGCTAGCACAGGACCAGGCAGTGTTTCCTTCTACTATACATAGGTTTAGGAGTTCTGGTGGCATAGTTCCTAAGGCACTTGACTGCTAACCAGAAGGCTGATGGTTCAAATCCACCAGCCACTCCTCGGAAGGAAGGATGGGCAATCTACTTCCATAGAGATAAAGCCTTGGAAACCCAAGGAGGGGTCACTATGAATCAAAATTGACTCAACAGCAGTGAGTTTGGTTTTTGGTTTGTACATAGGTTTTGCTATGAATCAGAGACGACTCAACAGCACCTAACAACAACAAACAGGAAATCGAGGAGTAGAGACATTAAATGACTTCTGTGGGTGACAGATGACTGAGTAGGGATTCAAACTCAGACTCTTTGGGGTGGGGTAAAGGAAAGTGCTTTGTGGCTGGAAATACTGTCTTTCGAAACACTGTCCTCACTCCTGGTTCTGTTCTACCTCCAGGACCTGCCTCTGAGACCTGCTCTCAGCCTCCTTAGAGGGGTCCTCTCCCCTGCCTGCTCCTGGCCTTATACTTTGCCCTCACTTGGCACTTCTGTCCAGGGAGAGCTCATCAAAACCCACTGCCATCAAGTCAGTTCTGACTCATAATGACACTATTAAAAAAAAGAAAAAAAACTCGCTGCCATTGAGTCAGATCCAACTCGTAGTGATCCCTCCTTGGGTTTCCAAGGCGGTATCACTACGGAAGTGGATTGCCCAACCTTACTTTCAAGGAGTGGCTGGTGGGTTTGAACCGCCAGCCTTCTGGTTAGCAGTCAAATGCCTTAGGCACTATATCACCTGCCCCATAGAGTTCCTAAGGCTCTGAATCTTTGCAGAAATAGACTTTCCCATCTTTCTGCCAAGGAGCAGCTGGTGAGTTCAAACCACTGACTTTTTGGTTGGCAAAAATGCTTTAACCAGTGTGCCACCAGAGCTCCTCCATGAAGGTCCATGCCAAAACCAAACTCACTGCCATTGAATCAATTCCAATTTATAGCAACCCCCTTTGGGTTTCTGAGGTGGCAAGTGGCTGGTGGGTTTGAACCACCAACCTTCTTGTTAGCAGTCAAATGCCTTAGGCAGTACACCACCAGAGCTCCTTCCTATGAAGGTAGACAGGCCTGAATCACAGGCTGCCAGCTGTTTGGAGAGAAATGGGGAAGTGAGGCCAGAGGTGGTGGTGGATAAATCAAAAAATCTTCAGCCAGATAACACACACACATACACCACCTGAAGCTAGACATTGAGCCCAGCAAGATAAAGAATGAGGCTCTACAAAGAAGAATGAAGAAAACCAAAGATTCATGGAAACAATTAGTCCTATTGGCTGGTACACCATGTGATCAGCAGCTTATACGACTGTGAGACCAGAAGAACTAGATGGTGCCTGGCTACCACTGTCATCCACTTGGAAGGGGATCTATGTAGGAGATCCTGGCTAGAAAGGGAGAATAATGTGGAACAAAACTCCAAATCATTTGGGAAAAAAAAAGTATGGGAGGGAGAACCAGGTTTCCTGGTCTGATAGAGCCTGGTGGAACCACTGAGACTATGGCCCCTAGCTGCCCTTCAGGTCTGGAATTGAACCCACACCTGTG